GAAGGAAGGAAGGAAGGAAGGAAGGAAGGAAGGAAGGAAGGAAGGAAGGAAGGAAGGAAGGAAGGAGCCATAAAGAGCTGAATGCCCTGCAGCTGAAGCAACAGCAGTTCCAGATGAGAACAGCTGACAAGCAATGCCAGCTCAGCGAGAGCAACTAGAAGGTGCAGTCACGCCTACAGCCACAATCATGTCTGTGGTGCTGTAACAGAATCCAGCAACCCTGAAACACAGTACTGTAATGGAAGGTGGAAAGCAAACCTCCAGAGGCCAGAAGCTGGCAAGGCAGAGAATTTTACAGGAGGAAGTCCTGAGTGAAGCCACTGAGGAACAGCCACCAAATGTCAGGGAAGCTCAACAACTGAACAGCACCTGCAGACTTCAAGAAGCAGGGAAGCAGTAGAAGACAACCCAGATTCCCGGGACCACAGGAGGGACTGTGGGTGGGAAGGGCAGGTGGGGGAGTTGAAGAGTTCCAGAAGACCAACGACAACAACCACAACCATGGAGTAGAAGTAGATAAACCAGAGTTTCTTATGCTTGGCAATTCCCAGAATTCTGGGAATTGAAATCCACATACCTTAAAATTGCCAAGGTTGAGAAACACTGGAATAAACGATAGGTTAGTAAATAAAGTAGAAATGGATAGGGAGGAAGATAAAGCAACATAAAGTAAAAGTAGAAATAGTTCCTGGGATTAAGAAATCAGAACCAAAACTCCTTGTGTTATAGAACAAACAGTGGGGTTTTTTTTTGGGGGGGGGAATTGGTTTTGGTTTTGGTTTTGGTTGTTGTTGTTGTTTTAGTCTAGTTTGATAATACAATCTTTTTTAACAGCATTACTCAGCTTCTTCTCTATCTCTGTCATCATCTCCCAAAAAAGACATGAAGCAGTATGGAATGGGGACATCCATGAATTTTGTTTATTTCATTGGATCCATTTCATTGGACTCATTTTTATTTTAATCCATAAGCATCCATTGCCTGCAACTAGTAACTGAACAAAAATGATGTTTAAAAACTTAGGTAGTACAGTAGCTGATGATTTGGATAGCTTTCTTCTTATAATTAATACTGGAGTCCCCTCTAAAATGTAAATGTCCAATTGGTGTTTTATTGATTAATTAATAGATATTAAGTAATAACCAAACAGTCCCACCGAAAGCAAGGAAGCTTGTAATTTCAGGTAAGGTTGTATTGCAAGAAAGAATTGTCTTTCTGATAATAAAAAAAGGTAAGAATTGCTAAGTGCAAGCATATGAAGTAGAGTATTTAAAATGCTTGATGCTTGGTAAATCTGTCCTGTTCTTCAATTGCAGCACCCCCACATAGACAAATTAATTATTCCCAGAAACTTTTGCCTTTCTATAACTAAGTCAGAAAATAGCTCCAGTGCTTATATTTAATCTTTTAAAGCTAGAGGCTTTTAAAAAATTTTATAAATAAACTTCTCTTTTTTCTTGCCAGTTCCTCAGTACAAATCTCCATTTATCATAATTGGAAATTTATCCACCATCTTCCTGGATTGGAGTCACACTTTCCTACTGAATGGACTTCTGAAGGAATATGTGCTAATGGAAGGAGGGCAACACATCTACAGTGGCTTTGACACCAGACTGTATTTACCAAGGACATCTGACAAAAGTAGGCTTGAATGTTCAGAGTTCTTTAATCTTTCTTTTTTAGGACAATATATCTTATGTGCACAGAGTTTTATAACTTGTTACTTTATTTAAATTACTTACTCCTCCAAAACTTGATTAGATGATCCTTAAGGTAGCTTGCAACCAATTTCATAATAAAACCAAAAAATGTTCCCCCATATCTTTATACATAGCTCCATTAGCCCTTTGATAAGGGATGTAGCTGGTTGTTTTGTTTTGAGTTCCACAGTCACAGGCTAGCAGGCAATGTCCAACATGGCATCAACATTGGTGCCAACCAAACCTTAAGGAAAACGATGTTAAGTTGTTGGTCTGCAAGTGGGGAGATCCAGGTTCTAGTCCATCCTCAACCATGGAAGTGCACTTTGTGGGTGACTTCTCAGCCCAACCTACCTCACAGGGTTGTTACTGTAAGGAAAAATAGGAGGAAGAAGCACTGTGTTCACTATCTTGAGCTCATGTACAAACAAATGGAATTTTAGAGGAAATTAATGGCTGGAGAATGCTAGTATAAGGGATGCCTTAAACACATAGACCTGACATACCATAAAGAGGAGTTCATTCCATAGGACAACTGCCACCACAGAAAAGGTACGCCTCTGTCTGCATCATCACAGAACAACAAAATGCAGCATGGAATGTCTGACCTTTTCTAAAGATCATGTATATATTTGTGAGGTTATTACAACTGAAAATTGGTTTAGGTAACTGTTCAGGGTTTTGTCTGCTAACATTAAAACACTGAATCCAGTTTAGTAGCTAACTGTCATAACTGTAATGAAGGTATGGTAAGGCACTCCAAATGCTGGTAAAAATAGATGGAAAAAGAAGAGGATGGCCAGTAGCAAGGTGAATGAACCTAGTTACAGTGGCAATGAATGCACCACTGAAAGATCTGAAAGGCCAGATTAAGGACAGATAATCTTTGAGAAAATCTATGTGGTCACTAAGAGTCAACACCAACTTGATGGCACATAATCAGTCAATCAAAAGGCACTCCAAGCTGTATATTAGTTGTTCCATTCCATGCTATTTGTAGCTTTCAGGCCAATCACAAGAGCAGTCCTGCTTATAGCAGTTGACAATAATTCCATCCTGAAGTTGCCAATGCAAGAATCAAACTATCACTATCTAGGAATAAGTGTGTGAAAGGGCCCAGCTGACCTAGCAGCCACAGGTGTTAATAGATGCTCCTAGTCACAGAGATTGCTTGGGCCTTAAGAGAAGATGGATCCAGGAACACTCCTTTCAGGGAATGTGCAGGCAGCTCTCCTAGGTCCTGGATTTAGGAACCACACTGCTGCTATCTTATCTCAATTCATTTCCAACTAATTCTTCATCATCCAGTCATTCTCCATTGGTTTGGGTTACATATAGACTCTCCTGGTTCTGATATCATAGACTAATAAACCTGGATAAGACTTCATTCCAAATCTCCTAATGGTCACACAAATGGCTTCATGTGGATTAAATAGAAGCTTTGATTCAGAGATTTTTTTTTGAAGCCAATTCGGTAAAATCTCTGAAACAAATGTTAGATCAAATCTAGTGTTTTCAATAGAAAATTGACTTGACTTAAACCAATTTGACAAATGAAAGTATCACTTTGATTTTCTAAACTGATTTGAACTCAGTCCACATGCTTGTTAAATAGTCTATGAGCCAAGATAGCACTACAATCTCCCAGTGCAATCTCTTCCACAAATAGGAGCAGGATCACTACATAATAAAGTCTAGAACTCCCTCCAATCCATGGAGGTAACATGATAACTAAGATGATGATGATGATCGGTGGCTTGAAAAACTGTTGAGAAATCCATTAAGTATAGCAAGATTATACTGTCTCTGTTTCTCTCCTGATAAAGATCATCCATCAAAGTAACTATAGCCAATTCTGCCTCAGAAGTTGACTGAAGTCTAGACTGAAATGGAGCTAGATAATCCAGGATTACTACTGCAGAATTGTCTTTTTGTAAAAAAAAAAAAAAAAGGGGGGGGGGGATAATGCCCTGTGATCCATTCCAGATGTTGAATACCTGGATGTATATCTCTTTCACAGGTGAATAACATGTATGTTTAAATAGCTTACAAGCTTATGAAGCACAATGACAAGTCAGATTTATAGGAATGCTGTGCTTTTTTAAGCTACTCATTTGGGCTGGTGTTCAAACTAAACATTTTTCATTGGAATAACCTGAGAGACTCGGTTGGTTGTCCATCAGAAAGTCAAGTGTACAGCTCATTTCTCCATTGGTGGCAAAGAAGGAGATTATCATAGAGCTCATGTAAACTCTCTTGGTCAGCACTATGATATCTGCAGCTATCAGGCCCAGCTCAAGAACAATGATGAAACACTCCAGTCCAGTTCCTTTATTTGCTTACACCTTATAGACAGAATCTTGCCAAACTAAATCTATACTACAGCAACTAGTGGATATACAGTGGTACCTCAGGTCACAAACGCTTCTGTTCACGACCAATTCGGGTCATGAACAGCACCATTCGCAAAATTTGCCTTCCGTTCGCGAACTCCGCATCAGGTGACGAACAGGATCCGCGGCCATTTTCCCTGCTGACACA